ATTAACACATTAATGACTTTCAACAGTAGCAGTTACGTCATGATGACGTCATTTATTATTAAAAATAATCTGGAACTGTCCCTCATCTTGGATCGGCCATTTTGAATTTTTGAAATGTATTCAATTTTACTAAAACGCGTAGAAATCGAGGTAATTGTGATAGAAAAAAGTCACCTTTGCATAAAAGGATCCTTCAGCTACAGCTTTTGCCATTGGCATTACAGAAACGCGCCCATTCAAAAACGTCGATCGTGAAAATGCAAATAAGTGAAAAATGACGTTAATTTAGTGTCAATCAAGAAATCCCCTGGGTACATCCGTTTCCTGGTTATTGTTCCTGCTCAGACATCTGCAACATTTGCCTATTCTTCGATGAAGAATAGAACTTTACGCGACTAACAATAGCTCAGTCTGTTTAAAAACTGTCTAAATTTACTCCAAATTAGCATGTAACTTTTTGCTGTTAAACGCTTCAAAATCGAAAAATCCTCGATGATTGTTGTTGATTTTGCCGTAAATAATTCAATGCACTGACTTAAAATGAATTTTTTACCTTTTACAAACTTCTTGGTGTTCGAATCGATCGATGAAATATGAGCGCAACCGATGCGTTAATAGTTTGCTTACATTTTGTCACGGGTTTTGGATAATATTATAAACCTTAAAATTTACGGGCAAATTCGACGAAAAAGCACTCTCACTTACATTCTTCATTTAAGATATTTTAATGACTTTCAACAGTAGCAGTTACGTCATGATGACGTCATTTATTATTAAAAATAATCTGGAACTGTCACTCATCTTGGATCCGACATTTTGAATTTTTGAAATGTATTCAATTTTACTAAAACGCGTAGAAATCGAGGTAATTGTGATAGAAAAAAGTCACCTTTGCATAAAAGGATCCTTCAGCTACAGCTTTTGCCATTGGGTCATTTTAAAATCATGTTTTTTTTTCAAATCAGTCACTAAAGAGGCCGGATTACACTAACAGGTTTAATAAAGTTTACAAAATATTGCTAAATTAAGTGTAAAGCTATAATTTATTGAATGAGCATAACTAAAACTTGACCTTTTTTGTTCAAAAAGGAAAATTTTGAAAACATGGCTGTTAAAACTTGGTTTTCGTGGTAACGTCAATTTTAACGTACTCGTCCTGACGACTTTAAAATGTCCCCAGATAGTTTTTAGGAAAAGTCGCCAAGTTTGGTGGTCATAGCTTGAACGGGTTTGAAGTTATTCAATTTTTTAGTGAGGAGGACCTGAAAAGCCCCTCCCCGGTTTGAATAGGGTTAAAAGATAGTTTTAAAAAATACTAAATAGCAAAATCAGCGAGGATAAATCTCTCCACTGGTACCTCATTCAGCAACTCTTGACCAATCTTAATGACAGAGTTACAGACAAAAAAAAACAAGCAACATTTGGGGAAAAAATCCAATGCCATTTCTGCTATTTACCTACTACACAATTAAATTTGCCCCTTTGTTGAAAGAAAGCCAGCCAAAATTTCATGCGAAAGAAAGACGATGAAGTGGGCAACAAAACTGGCTATAAAAAGAAAGGCAAAGGGAAAAAGAAGGGAGCGAGAAAAAACTCGAAATAAATTCGAAAAAAAAGTTCAAATTTTGACTTATGCGCAGAAAAACGGAAAAGCTGGTAATTACATCCAAGCAGAAAATTATGTCCTTAGTCTTGGAAATTTCTTTTTTGGTCATACCAATACTAACTGGCCGAAGAACAGTTCAAACAGGAGAATTTGGGCTAAAATGTCGTTTTTTTGCTGGTGAACTGGCTGGGGACAAAGAGCTAAGTTGTTGGGTTATACGCACCGTCTAGAAAAATTGGCTTGTTTTGTATAGATTTTGTAGAGCACAGATAACAAGCGGTGTTGGTGCTTGCCTGAGTATAACAGAAATACTGTTTAAACTATATTTCAGTTCCTCCAAAAATAACTGTGCTTCCTCAAAACCACTCCAGAGTAAATATTGGGAGCAATGTAACCCTGAGCTGCAATGCATCTGGTGACCCTCTCCCTGATATCAGCTCGGACTAAAGATGGTGTTAAAGCAGCACAGTTCAATGCCTCTGGTCACTGGCTATATCTTTTCAATGTTCAAAAAAGAGGATCTTGGATCATACAATTGTATTGCTGATAATGGACATGGAACTGCTACAAGCCTTGCAGTTGTGATAAGTAAGTATTTTATAAGCATCTATTCATTCACAATAAAAAATGTTGATGAAAGTTAACTTAAGTTACCATTTTGGCAGTAAAAAGACAGGTGACTACAAAATTTGATGTTCTTAGCACAACATCAATTAATTGAATCGTGAACTAGCTAGATGCGTTGTCTACTGCACCGATTAAGAATGATTTCAATTAAAAGCCATGACTTGCCATTCAGTTTAATTTAGGCAACACCGCCTATATTAAAAATGGCAGGTAACCTTTTGAAAAAGTTAGCATCCCCAGTTTACATGATTGTGCACATTATACCACAACATTTAACCAAACCGATGTAAAATGGTAAGCAAAATAATTTTTTTAGTGCAACAAGTTAGGTTCTCCCACGGGAGGTTGCGAAAAGTTGTTCCAAAAAGTAGTGACAGACTACTTTCTACTTTCTTTAATCCCTTTTCCCAACCTGCGACAACCTTGTCTCAAAGCGGGTTTAATTTTCGGTGGTAAAACACGGGCAGCGTCGCTTACAGGTCGTCTTGCGGAAACGTTGCAAAAAGGTTGCTGGTTTTAGTATCCGTCCCCTTTTTACCGTGGCTTCCAAAACACTTTTCTTGAAAGGACGTGGTTTCGCGAAAAGTCGGTAACATTTTTGAAAGGTAACAGGACGGTAGATTAGTACCTTAAATTTCGCCTAAATTGAATAAACAAATACAAAGAACTCAGGACTATAGTAGCGTTGCGTAGTAAACGCAATCCCTGGTGTAGTTAAAAATTAATTTCACAACCTAGTCGGTTAAATTTAGGCCCCTTCCACTCGTATCCGGATAATTTTGAATCTGCAACTTTTCCTTTGTCGATTCGACAGTCCGTCCACAACGTATATATGATCCGGTGAATCCGGCATACTAATCCTCAACTTTTTGAATCCGCTCTCCGCGACAGAGTGGAACTTTCTTAATACGCTATGTATCCGGAATCTTGTGGACGCTAAATCCGGATATATTTTAACCAATGACGTAACAAGACCGACCGACCGATCGTGAATATTCACGATATCTGCTTTATCGCTTCTTTACATCTTGGACTTATCTCAATTAAGTCTTATAACGTGTGCAGCTAAACCTAGCTATTACTAAAATAATTACTGCTTACACTTAAAATATGCCAAACGNACCAATGACGTAACAAGACCGACCGACCGATCGTGAATATTCACGATATCTGCTTTATCGCTTCTTTACATCTTGGACTTATCTCAATTAAGTCTTATAACGTGTGCAGCTAAACCTAGCTATTACTAAAATAATTACTGCTTACACTTAAAATATGCCAAACGAGCTAAACGAGCTAACTAGTGTCGGCGAAACAGTTGTTGAGAAAGAAAGTCGAGAAATTCTTTTGAATCCGCAAAGAAAAATTTTGCGGACTCAAAAATATCCCGACACGTGTGGACGGGGCCTTGCCTAGGGTCTTCAATTGTCTGAGGCATAAAGCTGTCGTTTGGTGGAGTTTTTGAGATAAAAAAGAGATACTCTTTATTAAATGTCATAATGTCATGTCTACGAGCTATAACCTAAGTTATACAGGAATATACCTCACATTTCCTCCACAAATCTTGTTACTAAGAAGTTACTACATCAGGTGCAGTCACACTGGTCTTCCCCAAGGCTCCCCATGTGGAAATAGTTTGGGTTGGGGTCGGTCTGGGTTTTGCTCACTTTCATGTTTGAGGTCACACACGGATAAACTGCCCAAGGGGAAGAAAAACCTTAAACCCGGTTTAGCGCGAAACGTCGTTGTAAACATTGAAGGCTGCCATAAATCGTATACCGTTTCGACCATTTTTACCCTTTTAATAAATCACACATCGATTAAACTTCGCAAGAGCTATGCATTCCTAAATTTTGAGACAAAAACAAACGTTCAGGCTCCTTCGCGCTTAAAAGAAAAGCAAAATCTAGCCATAATTTCTCGCTCAGAAGTCAAAAGTACGCGTAATCACATATTGTAAATGGTTCCAACGACTTCATTATAAAAGATTTCTTTAAATCGGATTTAAAAAATGCGAGTGTTTGAATTTGTTTAAAGGCAAAGTAAAAACCTGAAAAACATTCACGGCAGTGCTCAAACTCCTGCTGAATTTTCGAATTTTAAGTTCAGTTTTCGCGTAGGAATTTGGCGCCAGGCAGAACACAGCACGTAGACAACACGTGATTTCTACATTTCACTTTCTTGTGATTGGTTAAGTTGCTTTGGGTTTTTACTAACCCATAGAACTTACCTATCCATAGAAATTTGGAAAAAAAATGAAAACGGTAAAACTCATGGGGAAGGGAAAAGAAAAACTGGTAAGCTGTGTAAAGTAAGCATTAACAAGAGGATTGGAAGTACATTAATTATTTTTTGCGATTGTCTTATATTCTTGATAATATTTTTCCCCATGTTGACAAATGAAAGGGAAACGGTTAAGGGGGAATATGTCAAAAATATTAAGTAACTGTATTTTTTACTATTATATTTTGCTTTAGCTTCCGATCCGGGTACTGCCCCTTCCCAGGAAACGACGCTTACACCTCAGCCATCTACCCATGATTCATCTGCAACAAAACCGCCCTCGGGTGTGCAATATAACACAAACGTTTTGAAGTATTTTTTTGTATCACAGGTTAAAGCGGGCCATTCCCTGTAATTACAGTTTATATTGCTCAGCGACGAGGACTTACTCTCTAGAAAGAGATTTCCACTATGTCAGCCAAGCCTGATACTTCGAATATAGATTAAAATTTGACTAGCTTCTTATAGCGTCTACGTTTCCTTCTCAATCAGCTTCCCTGAGTTCAACTGCTGCACAATTACCCACCGCACAGCAGTCCTCCAGCGCTCCAAGACCAAGTGTAAAAAGTCTCAAGATAGCCTTTATTACAGTGGGGACGACTTTTTTAGCTGTTGCAATTGTGAGAGCAGTTTTCCCCTGAATATCAGATAATACAAGTAATTGGCTTTCGATCTTCCTAAGTGTTAAGGCTTTTGAAGAACATCTTAAAAAGGAAGCGAGAGAAATGAACACTGCTAAAATTGAATTCAGGATCTGCTATTCGGTCACTCTATATACACGTTTTTTTCCTCAAATTAGTCTTTAAAAAGCCTGGATCACAGTAGTGATTAATTTGATAAATAAATACTTAATTATGTTCAATTGATCAGATACAATAAGTAAAAATAGAAATATAACCCTTTTGTAGAAGAAGCTGCAAGTTTTGTAAAAACATGGCTGTCAAGACTCGGTTGCTTCGGTAACGTTATTGTTGACGAGCACGTCATTACGACTTCAAAATGTTTCCAGATCAAACACGTTTAAGATGAAGCCGTTAGGTCTTGAGGTCATGGCTTGACCAGTTTTTTATTTTTTATTTTTGTTTTCATTAAATGGGCCTCCAGAGCCTGACTAGGGTTAATTTTACCAAATTTAAAAAGAAGGCTTAACAGTTTTTACCGGTGTAACTCTCAGCTCATTATATTTTTCAGGGACATAATTAGGTTGTAACCAATTATAGTATCAGCAGCCTTTGAAGCAATAAAGGTACAACGTAGATCGTTCGTTCCTGTTTATGCCATGTTGCATTTATTCATTAATGAATACTAGATATGTTAACGTCATTTATACTCCCTTAGACTGCGCGCTACATTATTAAAAAAAATGCCTCTCCTTAAGACTTGAGAGCGTGTAAGCTGACAGCAAGTAGTTGCCCACAAATAAAACTGAGCAAGTTCCTGAAAAAAGGTATCTTGAGTGAAAGACTCAGTAAGAACGGATTTGATCTGCTTCTATTCCAAGAAGTCGTCAATGAAACCATATTCGCTGGTGTCATACTTTTCCATGTTCACGTAAGTCTCCTAAAATATAAAAGTATCGTGCTTACCCTTTGAACGGCGGTTACTAAAAAGGGGAACGGGGAACAGAAACGAGCACGGGGAAGAGAAAAACATTGGAACAATCTACGTGTAAGTCGTTTTGGCTTGTTTTAGATTTTGATTCAGTTGTCCTTACAATAAAAAAAATAAAGGAAAGGTTCTTGAGTCTGAATCCTACCGTCTATGACTTAAAGCTCCATAAATCCGATAAAAATAGTCTAAACTTACCAAGATTGCCGATAACGGATCTGCCGACAATGTGTCTTTCTCTCTTATGCTTCTGTAGTCTCATCATAACCGCTCACAAAGCGCTGGATTTCAAACTTATTTCTATCGAATTTTTTTTCCCGATGCTTTGGACACCTGGACTTGACGTAATCAACGGTCACTTAAAGCTAGCGTCAGCTCGACAATTTGCCTTCGCTCGGAATCGGACACGAGTTGCACGGTGGAAGGTTACCTGGGTCGATTTGACTGGGTGCAACAGGTAAACTCGCGTGCGAGGCCGATAATTTACACAACTACAGTCATGGACAAAAGTCTTGGGACACTTTGCATTTCGGGGGCGTTTTCCAATTCACACCAGTCCAACCCCTCCCCTCACCCCACAATCAATGTTGGACGCGTTTATCCAGAATTTTTTTTCCGAGTTTCAACTTTGTGTAGGGTAGGGGGAGGGCGAACTGCAAAAAAATTTTGAAAAGGATGCACTATTTTATGAGGGAACCAAGAGATGAAAGAAAAATATGAATAGTGCAGCACTGTCCAAAGGACTTTTGTCCACGATTGTAGCTTTAAAATTCAAATTCCAACGAACTCTCATAAAGTCTGGGCTGCCTGTGCTGAAAATTTGGCAGATGGTCAACTGATATTTTATTGAATACCAATACGACTTTGTCAGCCAAATAAAGCAAGAAATAAAGGCTGCTGACAACCAATCGGATTCGAGAATTTTGCGATTGACCGAGCTTCAAGGTGCCTGAATTGGTTCGGAGTTGAACCAATACCTCATGTTAGTGAACTGTCGTTAAGGCCCGATCGTTAAGGCTATAGGAGGCTGAGCTGCATTTGTTTGTGTAAGTGATCTTTGTTTGTGTTTCTATTTTTGTTTTGTTTTCTGTTCTATTCTGTAAATACATCTCTTTCAACAGTTAAGTGACAATTTATCTTATTATCGATAATCAACTTACGTTATTATTTTTCATCATGCTTGTGATCTTGTCCTTCAGTACGGAAAATGTCGGTCGATCATTTGGTTTCACTTGCCAGCACTGGACCATCAGCTGGTAGCTTAAATTAGATAATAATGATAATAACAATAATATAATAATAATAATAACAATACTAATACTAATAATAACAATAATAATAATAATAACAAATTATTGATATTACATTTTTTACCTAAAAAGGTCTATCTGGGAAACTACGTAGAGTGCATGTATAGTACAATAACTACATATCACACAATCTGTGTTTTGTAGATCGATAGTTAGAGAAAACACCAGGACTGAATTAGCCCGAGCTTTTCTAACGGCTTAATAAAAAGATAATAATTTGATGCAGCTCTTATTTCTTTGACACAACTAATTAACTTTTCTCTAATTTGACAGAGAACATTTGACTAGGGCACTCATTAAAGTTCCATTTTCTTTTGTAGATCCAGTATGAATTAATTTGATAAAATTTTTTAAAAATCGTTTCATGGGACTGGTGATGTACCATTAGTATGTTTTAATTGTCGTCTTCAAGTTTAGCAAAATATAAGGAAAAGCAACGAACGCAGAAAAGTATAATTGATTTTTCGCAAGCTACCTGCATGCAACTATAAAGAATGCATCCTTAATTTGCTCTTAGGTAGTGACAATCCATACCATTGAGGCTCAGATTTTCACTTTATACCTTATAGCTTTTCGTACCGACACGAAATGCTATCCGTTGAAATAACAACACCTATCCGATATGTGCATCTTTACTTCAGGGGACGGTGTGGCAGAGCCTCACTCCGTAAATCACGAAAATCACCGTCCTTATGTGTGAACAGAAGCCCTATCCGCTATGGTATCGTACTGTGTGTCGCAGCACAAAAGATATCTGGTATAGCCTGAACATAGCTTAAGACGCAGTCATAAAACTTTAACTGAATCTGTGAATACTTACAGATTTTTTTCAACATGTTTCGGTTTGGGCATTCTGTATCCCTTCTGAAGCTTGTTTGGAATGTCGCGCCCGTTTATTCCTGGGTACGGGGATCCACCTGCAGTTTCGATCGATCACGTTAGACAACTTCGGCAGTTCACATAAATAATTGTACCTCACATTAAAATTTCAAGCTTACAATGACCTGTTCCACAGTTTTGTTGTCAAAGTCAAGAATAAAAAACTTAGTCAAGTATGCGCTAGACTGGATACTCTGAATAAACTTACCAATAGTGAAAATTTCATACAGGACAATACCAAAACTCCAACTAAGGATAACAAAGAAAACATTACACGTAAATCAATACCCCAGCTGATCGATATTCAACAATGTGAACTGAGCCCAAGGTGAATAATTGTTGTAGTGTATACACACGAAGTGATCTCAACAGAAGGTAAAAACGATTGGTTTGATTAACGGGTGAATACATGCGTGAACATGTAGCCGTAAACAGAAGATTCGCGAAAGTTAAATCTTTAAGCTTACAGTATCTTCTACAATCATAGTTTCTAAATAATCTTTTTGTAGGCTTTAGCATCAATTGTTTGAAAGAAAACGTCCAAAGGTTAAATTACTACCCCTTTTGAGAAGAAAACGTTCTGTCAACTCACCGTAAACGAGAAAGTTTTTTGCCGCTTCTTGCAATTGCTGTCAACAGCGGCTACGATCGAGGAGATCGAAAGAGATCAAAGATAATTGTAGTGGTAAAAATTGCTTCGAGTGTGTAAAAAGTCAGCTACAGTAAATCAATTCACAATAATTAACGCTGTTGAAACACCACGAAGTCTTTACTTACCTTCAAAATCATCAACACTAAGATATTCTTGTATTTTCAAAACGTTCTTACTCTGAAACTTTGGCAAAACACCCAGTTCACGACAGTGACTTTGTTTTGCTTTATATTCACCGCCTAGCGTACAGCTACTCCTCGAAGGGGAGGTGAACAGTAGTGATATATACCGAGACGCGAAGCGCTGTTTACCGACTCTGAGGGGGATATATAGTTGTTTTAGTGTTTACAGAATCATGCAGTTGGATAAAACTGAAAAAAAGTAACTTTTTGTAAATTAGAAACGTCACTTGGTAGGATCTTTGTTTACAATTTACAAACATTTCGGGGATTTTGTCAAGTGCATTTTACGATTTTGTTGCAAATTCGGCATGAAAATCATTTTCTACTTACCAGTGAACAACGACAAGCCAAAGTCGCCTTCTTAGTATTTGTTTGTATTACTGCTACATTTATCGCACAAATTTCGTCTTCCGAAAATGTCTCGAAACGAGACGCCATCTTGGCTCCGGTCGCAAAACATGGAGTAGCCTAGGATATTCCGAGTTACGGCAGCCAATCATAATGCGCGAACATTGCTATTTACTGATTTGGTAAATACTAAAAAGTCATAGTCCAAGATAGCGAATCAATCAGATTGCTCGAATCATCAAGATCACTGAGTGTGTATATACTTAAACATGATATACTAAAATTCCCTCGACAAATGGGAAAGTTTTCGAAACGCAAATGCACATGGGAAGAATGCATTCAAGATTCTATAATATATATTTAGTAGAAAATTAGAACTAAATTGAAAGAGCGTAATGGTAACCAATTTAACAGGAAAAAGGAGTGAGAAAATAAAGGTGCGATAATGGTTCGCACTAATGCAAAGTGATTATAGGGTTAAGCACTGACTTAGAATGGTTACTAGTTTGTAAGCTTTTATCTTCTGTTTAACACTACATAGCAATGCTATAAAATTAAGGCTGGTAGCGATTGCTTTGTGTAGTGGTTAAGAAATCGTAGCTCCCTAATTCTTTTCCCTTTTAATCTTAGGATTTAAGCAAAACACAGTAAGAAAGGTTCGACGTGTCGGACCATTTTCTGAGCTATAGATCGACTCGACCTATTGGAGCGCTCCTGTGTTTTCGCCTTTCCCATCAACCCTGGTGCCTCGAATACCTCCAAAAATCCCGAGGAACGACTGAGTGCAAAGCATGAAACAGACAAATAGACGCAAAATTAAGAGAGTATAGCTTCTTGGCTTAACATTATATTGAAAACATCTATAAGAGCAAACCTAGATCCCTTGGTTTCTCTTTAACATAGACTCTTGACAGTGATGTTCTTAAGCTAAAGGGCTCGTATCTTACAATTTAAAACGACAATGCGTAATAACTACTATTCAGAATGTTTTTACGAAAATTGCAGCTTAACGATGACTCACTTACACGTCACTCTGGGTTGTATATGTTCCATAAAGTAAAGCCTCGTGAGCAGTCCACTTTACTGGCAGACGACCCTGTTTGATCGCAAATGAATATAACGTTATAAAAATGTTAAAAAGAAAGAATACGAAAGAAAACAACAACAAGGACAAGTGTGCCAGGCTGTCATGGAATAAAAACCGCATGTAGCATAATAAAGCTGTTTTCGTACTAAGAAGCTGGAAAAAAAATTGGTTTTCAGTAAATTTTAGAATTTGAAGGAAAAGCAATTAGTGTTAGGACCCGGTGATTGATGAAGTCGACTTGAAGCTGTGATCTCTGCATCGCAAATCCTTCCTCCTTTTATGCTCATCGACCGTTAATTGCGTCAAGTGGTTAAGATGACAAGCACCAGACAAGTAAGCCATCACCTTCCTATCATCCCCTAAGAAAATGGAAAATGTGTAACATTCGTCATCTCCTCAGAAGCAGTCATGAAATGCGTCTCGAAAAACTGTTTTATAGAGCAACTTTTGAAAAATTCTAACCCGACTTTTCTTTGTGTAAATGTCATCTTGGTTTACATCCCTCGCCTTTCCAAAATCTGTCACCTTACAGTTTTCTCCTTCACCTACAAGGACATTTCTTGCTGCCAAGTCGCGATGGATAATCTGGCCAAAAATTAAAATAATATTAAGCAAGTCAATTTTTTTTCATTCATGCCTATTCAGTTTTGACAAAATCAGTTTTCTCTTGATAAAGTCAATTACATTAAAACAGGTATAATCATGAAGAGAATCTTGAGTAATCACACGAAACCGCACTTGCAATCCATAGTGAAATGTATTTTTTAATTTTGACTCCTGTGACTCTTACACTCGTCCCACGTGCTAACAGAATCTTCCAAAGCCCTTGTTAATCCTATATACTATAATTATTTCAATAGTTTCAATCGATGTATTTTTTTTTGTTTGCGACAGAAAAATATAAAAGAAAAAAATTGCTCGGTGACTAGCTGTCCTTAATTTGGCACAATTAGCATTGCCTTTATCATTAACATTTTAAATTTCCTACATGTATCCACCACTTTGTCGTTACCTTACAAGATGAGAGATAATTCATTCCATCAGCTATCTGCTGGGCAAATTGCATAAGCTGCCGTGAAGTAAGATTTGTTTGCGGCTTTACATCGGGACTGTTGTAGTACGTGTCCTTGAGACCCCGACTCTTCCTTAGGAACCCCAATAGATCACCGTAAGGAATATACTCAATGAGCACGAGTAAAGGCTCTGTGAGAAAAGATTGTATGATACATGATTCATTTTAGAGTTATTTAAAAACGTGATAATTATACAATTTGTAGATCGCTAGTCATAGAATTATCTCTAAAGGTTCGTTGTTTTCGACTGAGATGATTTGCGTTTTCTGTAATCACCTTTCTCTGAAACTTTTGTTAAAAGATTTTTTAGAAGTTTTTTAGACAATAAAACACAACACTGGTGCCTTAGCCAACTGTAGAAATAACAAGTAAATCATAGTAAAAAATGTGGTTTTAACCAGGTCTCTCTATTAAGGTCTATATAGGGTGAAAGGGCGTGGCAGATAATTACTCCATTTACCAGTTTCTGTGACGCATCCTAGTAGCTTGATCACGTGAGGATGAGGTTTCATCTGTTTCATCAAATTCAGTTCTGACAGCAGGTCCTCCTTGTCAGAATCCGGGGAGTTTTCTATCCAAACACAAAAGCAATAACTAAGCAAACATATTATTATAAATAAGCGCTTTACTAATCATAGGTTTCAATCTCAAAATATCACCGACCTTTCAGCATTTTTACTGCTACCGTAGTCAAGCCCTTCACGCCTTTAATATTCCAAGCCTCTCCTTTGGCAACTTTAGAGAAAGTACCCTTTCCAATGTCTTTAACTATGTGGACAAATTCCCTACTCACTTCCCAATTCTTTGATGTTGTGCTGGGTTTAACATCGTCACAGTTCTCGTAAAGGGCTTGTTGTTCCTGCTCAAGTGAGGTACTATCTTTGGATGGTGGTGGTGCAAATGAAACCTCATATGCTAATATAGCATTCTCTGTGCCGTTTACATATGCTGCCGTCACCTGGAGAGGTGTTCTGTGACCCTGTAATTCAATTTTGGATTAAAAAATAACACCGATTAGTAATATTAGAACACGATATCTAAGATATCGGATGGTTGAATCGAAATACATCTGTGAAGGTTGTGGGAAGGCTCTTCGATGGATGTCTTAGAACTGACGCTGTGACGTATGTAGTCTTCGGGACACTTCGCCTAAATTTTAAATGGTTGCTGAAGGAGGTCTTTGAAACATCTACATTAAGGACCTACAGAAGATCAGCCCGTTGTCTTTTACAACAGCAATAGTACTAACAAAAATTGTTAATTATTATCATTATTATTATTATAGGCGGAGCGAGGGTTTATATCAATTTGTCGCGCACGCGGAGTGTCATAAATATCGTTTTAGGAGAACACAGTTGCCTGGCAACAAGGCAGTGTGTAAACAAAGCCGCCATAAACCTGGCCCGGTTGTTTTAGTTACTTTCAGTTACCTCTATTTCCTTAAGTTCTTCACTTTGCTCATCCCGATAACTACCAAAAAAGGATAACTACATGTCATTTCTGTACTGGAAGTTTAAAATATGTATGGTTGCAAGCTAAGCGAGGTAGACCTACCATTTTTCCATAACAGAGAGGGTAGTGGAAATTATTATAAACTATACTGATGTAAGACTATGTGCTTCTAAGATCTTTAACCACGTTATCAAGACATGATAATGACACCTACCCCGTGCCGTTTGCTGGAGCTGTAAATAGTAAAACAGTGGCTGCTTCAGTATAGGTGACAATATGTAAATTTAGTTTTTTAATGTCGGGTTTATTTGGAGCACCATGTGACGGGAATTTAAAGAATTTTATGGTATTTTTTTACTCTTCAAGATGACTATTTAGGTACGCCTTGGTATGTGTAACATTTGAGTCACATCGAATAGTCGTAATTGCATTTTCTGTCAAGAGAGAGCTAAATGTTTTCCGCAACGTTAGGTTACCATCTTTTCTTACGAACAGGGCACGTCTTTGGTTACATAATTACATGCACTCAATAAAAAAAAAAATGTCACATGGGACCTTATGAATTTATAAGCGATCGAAATTTAATTGTTCTTTATAGACTCTTTCATTATCAAGAGCGCCTAGTGCAGATAAATTCAAAAAAGAGTCGAAGAGCTTAGTTTTCTTGGCGAAAACGTCCCTAGTGAGCAATCAATGAAACAACATAACACAGCACACCCTTTATGTGCGTTAATTAACGATCACTTCGCAAATAGCCTTTGGTCTTATTTATTGCCTGTTTACATGGAGGTAGGGGACCTCAGGTAGGTGAGGTAACTCGCTTAGATGGGGTAACCCGCCTGTCCATATAATCGCTCATTTTAATTTGATCACGTTTACATGATAGGATGATAGGTGGGGTGACCCACCAAGGCGGGTAGCCCGGTCTACCAGACCGAGTTACCCTCACAGCCGGGGTCAAATTTTGCCATGTAAACGTTTCAAGGTGGGGTAACCCGCCTGGCCGGGGTCGGATTCGTGATACCTCAAATTAGCGCAAAATTCACTTTGGCGGTGGCTTTGCATCATTATTAAAGTCAACAATATAGAGAGCCCCGCACTGAAGGTTGTAGCAAGAGCAGCAGGGGAATGTAGAAGTGCATTAATCGCCAAAACACGTGGTTTGCCAGCATTTTTCTTGTTTACGTGCTTGGCGACCACTCAATAATTTTGAGAAAGTGCGCCCCGGGATGCTGGGGTTGTAAGATTGCATGTAAAGGAGGGTTATTTTTTTACCCACATAAGCAGGTTACCTCACCTACCTGGGGTTCCCTACCTCCATGTAAACAGGCCCCTAGCAGTTTTAGTACTTTATGTGAGTATTTTAATTGCTAAATTGAAGTTGTTCCATACCCGCAAGAAATGACTTTGCCAAGGATGAAATGCATAGACCATAGGCTTTTACGAGTCATTTTATGTTAATTTTTGACATAAGAACTGGTAAATTTGTTCAGATTTCCCCGTGTACACGGGTGAACAAACATTGAAAAGACGGCGTTCAACATGATTTTTCAGGAAAGTGTTGAAGGAGAGTTTAATAAGTCCCAACCTATAACCCTTTTGTTAAAAGCAAATAAGTAGACCAGAATGATTGTGGGGAAAAGGGATAAGGGATGAAGCACTCCAAACATGGACAGCAGGTCTCTCACTTTCCTCTACATATTGGTGTAATAATCAAAGTCTACAGGGTGAGAGGTCATAATCCTCTCTAGGCGGTGATAATCCCCCAGGGTAATTAGAGGTGATAGTCCTCCTCTCTCGAGGTGATCATCCCCAAAGGTTGTAAGTGGTGGTGATAGCCAAACTTGGGTACTGGAGAGGTGAAATGGCGTCTCATTAAAGGAGTAAAAAGAGTCTATGAGGTAAAGGGTGGCCTGCATGGGAACGTTTCATCCCCACCAAATACCCCAAAGGGATATTCCCCATAGACGAACAAACGGAATTGTAAACAATTTATCGACTAACAGTGACGTCATAAACATTTATTCAACACAAACTGGATGCAGCTAGTGTATCTATCGGAAGTGGGGACGCTGAAATGTAATAACCCAATCCATATTGAAAAATTTGTTATTGAGTTAATCATTCATTGTAATGCATACTTACGATTGTTGTTCGTAAGCTACTAAAAGAAAAAGCTGCATGATTTATGGTTTCAAGCCCTATTAAAACAGTAACATAACATAACATAACATAACATAATTTATATAGCGCTAACTCCACTAATTGACCAAAGCGCTTTACAATTCATAATATTAAAGTAATTAAAAAGATCCCACTGGTAATAAAATACGAATAAATTAAAAACCTATTAGCAGTCTTATTTATAAAAATATCACAATAAATCCTATTCTAAATTATCAAAAAGTTAAACATTATATGCTTTTTTAAAAAGATCAGTCTTTAAGTGTTTCTTGAATAAATTAATTGTAGCTAAACTTCTAAGATCTAATGGCAGCTCATTCCAGAGTTTAGGTGCAGCAACGGAAAAGGCCCTGTCTCCGTATGTTTTAAG